GCTTCATGTCCAATGGTAATCTGGCAACCTGCATCTTCCTTAAATTTCCAGTCATTAGTTAAAGTGCAAAGGCTCATCTTCTCTCCTGTAGTCCCCAGTGTCACAAAACCTCCCTGGGTCTCCCATTTCAGAGCAGTCCTCAGTGGAAAACTCAGATTCTCCTGTATTCTTTTCCATCCACTCTAATACAAAGGAAGTTTCTCAGGAGAGCTCAAAATGCTCAGAATTTCCCAAATTCAAAAGGGAAAGGGCTGTTATAACATGAAAAGATGATTCCATGCATTACCTAGGTGGTTTTTCTGAGGCATGTAAACACCTGCCCATATAACTGTGTATGTGAAGATAAAAGGTGCAGTAATCTGGAACATTCCTTCCTTTTGGACACCAGCTGGATAGGAACAGGTATGGGTTATTGTGCCTTCTTGTAAGCCTCTTGCAAAATTTGTTTTTATTTTGATTCTGCTTGTTTTTTAAAGAACACATCTTGTAATTGAATTGGTATTTGCATATTCTTGGAAGTATCATCAGGAAAAGCTTGATGCTCTTGTATACCACCACTAAACCATGTGGGACTTCCCTCCTGGGTTTACTTAGCCATGCACACTCTACAACCAGGTAAAAATTATTTCGTTGGCATGTCCTAACACCAAAGTTCTTTAGGAATAAATTAATACTACCTAATTCTCTTTGGTAGTGCAAAAAAATAAATCAAATATTAGCAGCTTCTGTCATTCAATGTCCCCTTTAATTTAAAAAGATCTCATGCAAGCCTACTTGAAATCCAGCATTCTAACACAAACTGGTGCAATATTACTACTGAGCAACATGAACACATTCAAGAATTCAATCCACTGTGTTACACAGGCTCAGCAAGGGTCCTCAAGGCTTCCAGGCTGGAAGCACACCAACGGGAACATACACAACCTTAGGAGTTTTGGCTTACACTGCAATGCCGCTGATATTTGACAGTGTTATTAATATTTAATCGACTAATTTTTTTTTTTAAATTTACCATCAGCAGTCTTGGAACCAGACACAAACTCCAGGCATTATAGTTCAAGGATGGGGAGGAACAAAGGTCTATGGCTGCTTGCACAACGTGCAGGGGAGGAAGAAAGCACCTGTAGGTGAATTCACGCATCACAGGCATGACAGCAGCGTGGTCTCCTCTAGTGGCACTAGGAAGACAGCAGGGCACTGCTTCTCAGTTCCTCAAGGCTTACAAAGGGCATGCCACCTTAGCCTAACCTAAGTAAGCCCTTGATGGGCACTTCTGATAAGAGAAACCAACCAGAAGACAGGGATGGCAATTAAATGAGAGAATAAAATCGATTATCCACTTCACACCTCCACCTTTAAACCAACAGCTGACTTAACTGCCACACTTAGGATGCTGATAAGAGTATGCAGCTCCGTTTGTTCCCCCCTGCACCTTCCAAAAATGGTCCAGCATGTACCTCCAGGGAAGGAAAAGCATTTCAACAGAAGGCTGAATTGCTAGAAAAGTTTCAAAGAAAAACCTCTTACTATCACATCACCCTGTTAACATACCCCCTGACAACCTGGACCATCTGATCACGGCTGCACCAGCCCTCTTAGCTAAGCGTGGACTGGTTGTTGGTATTTCAGGCACCCCAACCGAGAGACCCAGACTGCAGGCTGGAGACACTGTGTTTTAAAGGGCAAAGCAAGCATGACTGTAAACAAAAACCAGAAAACCCTCCTGCTGCTTCCATCAGCTCACTGGCAAATTATCAGACATTCACTGATAAATGGAACCAAAGCACCAGCAGAGCAAAATTATGGAAAATTTCTACAGCAGGAAAATCCTCCACAGCTATTCTTCCCTGACTTTCAATGCCTTGATGCTGATGAGGACGGGCAGCAGCACTACGCTGTCCCCTTCATCTTTACTGGGAACTGGGAAACCATTTCTAGTCATTTTTATTAAAGGAATTCACAAAACTTTTCATGTTTGAGGCAGTGCAAAGAACAGGCAACACAGGTAAACCCTATGGCAAGGCAAACAATCCAGAAAAATCCAGAAAGCAGTAAAACCACTGTTCTATGAGCCAGAAACCACTCAGCATTCCCCATACCTGTGGGGAGACTCTACAGGAGATTTACTGAAAGATTCCTCCTCTTCTTACAGCCCGGATTATACAAAAGGGTTTTGTATTCACTTTCGACTCTAGCAATGGTGGCTCAGTTCCCCCAGCGCTGAGAGAAATTAACAGACAAAAGCACTGGTACACACAATCCTAAAGACCTCATACACGTTTAAGAAAAAACAGGGGTAGCCACTGCACTTCAGAGCCATCAGCACAGGGTACAGGCTTCTCAAACAGATTCTGGAGCTGGACTTCGGTGGCAAAAATCCAGCAGAAAATCCCTGATCTTCCAAATCATCCCCTTTAGACACTAAAAAATAAGTTTCAAGGCCCAACTCTGAGGAACTGAAAAGCTGACGTTCTTCTGCAAGGCACCCATGTCAGAATATTAAATTTCATTGGCTTATACCATCTTAAGACCCAGAATGAATGCTCCAAAAATCACTTACCATATTTATTTAGTACCTATAGCATTTAAAATATGTATTTTATGTTCTAAAGACTTACAGCACACTAACAAAATGACTCCGCGTTACCTACGAGCTGCAAGCCACTACAAAAGTAAGGACTAATCCATAACCCTAAATGACTGTTTACTTAAAAAGACACTAGAATTCCTCTGCTAATAGTGAAGTGTCACAGCACAGACCCGAGGAAAAGCTTTTCACTACATCAGCCATCTGCACACTGGAGTTTGTTAAAAGAATATTGAGAAAAATCCCATACTTCTCACCAAAAGCCTTAAATTTGGCTCAAATGAGAGTGGATGAGCAAACAAAGCTCCCAACAACTCTGTTTCACCCACTCCATGCATAGAAACGCAGTCCTTGAGCACCTGGGGGAAAACCCAGGAGCACATCAAAGTGATACAACTACTGAAGAATGGCTAAAACCCAAATAATTCAGTATCTAATCATGGCGTGATACTTGATTTCTTAGGGAATCTTGACCCCTGTACATATACAAGAAGCTTGGAACCACATCAAAAAATTGACTCAACAGGCCAGTATAAAAATCCACACCTTCAGATACTGCTATGACCAAACTTCACTTTAAAGACTGAGACATAAACTTGGGCAAATTCCATATTTTCTGAATCTCACAGCATATAATTAAGTGAATAAGAAGCTTTACATTAACTATCAAGAGATAAACACTATCCACATACAAGCAGAGGGAGAGGCAAGGAATAAAAGAATCTTAACCCATGCCAAAATTGAGGTGTACTGTATATACAATTAGCCAAAGTTTTATCATCAAAGGTGATAAAGAAAAGGACGTAAAGGACTTCTCCCTTCAAGGTATTCTGAATATGGACACTATCAAACCTAAACCCTTCAAAAACAACCCAGGTTTTTGAGAAATGCAAGCATTTCTATTTTCATGAAGTTCTCTGCTGAGCTCATATCCTTCCTTTTTTTGCTTAGCCATCTTCGCTCAACTGTACATCCACAGCCCCCAGGATGAATGTACCACAGACACAGCTCTATGTTTTCCATTAAAACCCTGCAACAGGAGTAATCTGAATATTCCTTTATAAGAAACATTCCTGACTTTGAACTTTGTCTGCATGAAACAGAAAACAACAAATTCTCTTTCTTAAGCCCTGCCTTTAGGAAGGAAGGATGAGCTTTGCATACTCATTCTTGCATTCTGAAGAAAGCAGATTACATCCAGGATAAGGCAATTCAAAAAAAATAAAAAAAGAAAAAGAAAAAGTCTTCCAGTGGGGCAGAACGGTAAGTTAAAAATAACAAATGCTCAAAGGCAAAAGTAAGATAAAAAAGATAAACAAAAAAGCCCAATAAACCAAAATAAAAGTCTCAGAAAACAACTCTCAAACCCCTTTCCTAGACCTGCCACTAAATTAGGGCATCAGAGCAAAGAGCAGATTAATCATTTTGGTTGCAACATTTTCTCACAGGCTCCTCAGGAGCCATCCTCCCGGAGTAGAGAAACCAGAGGTGGAATGCCACCCCGGGTGCCCCCGTGCTGGGATTTCACCGGACCGAGAGGCGCTTCTCCCATCCCTCCCCGGCACCGGCTCCAAAGGCGCTCCGAGGCCGCCGGCGCCTCCTCCCAGCCCGGCACAAAGCTCACCATCCATTTTACAAGCGGCCAGGCTCCTTCCCGACACAACTTACACGCTGGAACACTTACTGCGCTTAATCTGCTCAGATGACCCTTGGATACAAGGGCAGGCAAAACGCATCTCGAATAATTAAAAGGCGAGAAAAGGTATCGATATCCATATAAACAAACCTTCTGCAGATGGCGAACACGGCAATTAATCCCTCCACAAAGCCCCACCGCCGGGACCTGCTCACCCGAGCCCCCCGGCTCCTTAAACTTCACCGCCTAACAAAGGCTTTTAAGGGTTTTATTCCCCCCCACCCTTTCCTCTAATTTGCGCTTACAATCCTCGGTGAATTATTCATACTCCTCAACTCACATTGTCCATCCGCCCCCCCCTCCCCCCTTACACCTCCCCAGCGCGACTTTTGGGGATTTTTTAAAAGCCGAGTATCTCCAGAATGCGAGCCGGCCCTTTTGCGCACAAAGCCGGGGCACGGCGGGCTGGGAGCGCGCCGGGCACGGGGCACGATCGATCCCTGCCCGCCCGTCTCCGGGAGCGGAGCGGCCCCGGGTCGCTGCCGGGCAGCGCGGCCGAGCCCGGGCGCTTCCCCCCGGCCCCGAGCCCCGGCCCGCTCCCCCCGCCGACAAAATGGCGACGTGGACGAGAAGGAGAAGGAGGAATGGAAGAGCGGAGCGCTCCGCGGGCCGGGCGAGGGCGGCGGGGAAGAGGACGAGGAGGGGGCGGCGGTAACAAAGCAGGGGGCGGCGGGGCCCGGCAGCAGAGAGCGGCGGGGGGCGGCGCGGCATCGCTACCTCTTCTTGTCGGTGACGCCGCCGGGGCTGTCCATGGCGGCGGGACGGCTTCTCCTCCCGCCGGCTCCCTGGGACGCGAGGCTCCGATGGCGGTGGCGGGGAGATGGCGGCGCCGAGCCGGGTGTGGGGCCGCGCGGGCTCAGAGCATCGGGGCACGGGCTGCGGGGAGGTGCGGGCGCGGCGCGGGGCCCGCGCTGCGCCAGTGAGGAGCGGCGGCGCGGCCCGGCCCCTGCGCGGGGTCAGCTGAGCGCTCAGCTGGGCGGGGGCCGCGCCTCACGTGCGGCGCTGCGTGCGGGGCGGGCCCGGGCCCGGCCGGCCCCACCGCGGCCCCACCGCGGTCCGATGGCTCCCGGCCGGCCCCACCGCAGCCCCACCGCGGCCCCACCGCGGCCCGATCGCTCCCGGCCGGTCCCACAGCGGCCCGATCGCTCCCGACCGGCCCCACCACGGCCCCACCGCGGCCCGATCGCTCCCGGCCGGCCCCACCGCGGCCCCGCCGCGCCCCTCGGCCCCACCGCGCCCGCCGGCGGGGCCCGTGCGGGTCCCGCCGCAAATCGCACCCCCGTGGGCACAGCGCGAGGAGATGGTCCCTTCTTTATCGCCTCCTTTCATCTTTGGTCAGTGCTAGACTCCGCTGCCTCTCCCAGAGGTGTAGTACAGTAAAAGCCCGGGATGTTTCTACAACATCGAGGTTGGAAGAGACCTTTAAGATCATCCAGTCCAATCATACACCTGGCACTGCTCCTGCAGCCCCTAAATCGCATCCCCAGCGCCTCTTAAACACCTCCAGGGATGGTGACTCCACCATACCCGAAGAGCCTATTCCCATGCCTGACCATCCTAACAGAGACATTTTTATTTTCTACCTAACCTGAATCTTCCCTATCGTGCATTAAGAGAATGTCCTCCTGTCCTCTCACTGCAGCCACGGCAGCAGAGACCTCCCTACACCTCCTCTCCGTGAGTTCTACACAGTGATGGAGCACCCCCTGCACCTCCTCTTCTCTGGACAAAGCAAACCCAGGTCCCGCAGCCACTCCTCACAGGACATTTTCTAGTCCATTTCCAGTTAAAGGGTTCAGAACTTCACATTAATTAAAGGGAACAGTCAGCTCAACAGCCGGGCAGCCCAGAAGGGGAACCGACAGGTAATTAAGCACATTTCGAGCAAGTTTTACAACTTCCCAAACCCAAAGCAAACCCAACAGCAGAGCCAGGAGGCTGTGCTGAGGCACTGTGACCCCTCTGCCTTCCCTGCCACCCACCCAGGCTGGCCTAGATCCAATGCCATTTTCCCAGTGCCTGTGCCCAATTTTCCTCTCCCTGTCCCCCCCATGGCAAGCCTGGCCTCAGGCACTGCTCACCTGAGAGCCACAGGATCTCCTGCTGACCTTAGCTGGCCCTGGAGGCACAGCAGGAGGGGCTGGACACCTGGCACTGACATGGCCACACAGGCAAGTGGCCTCTTGGATCAGGAGCCAGGATACAGCCATGGGAGAGCAAGGAGAGGAAAACTGGGGCAGAGCCCACACATTTAAAGTTAAAAGCCTTAGCTCTGTACCCTTAGCTCAGGGTCATGTGTGGGTAAGCACTCTGGGGAGGCAGGGAAGGCACAGTTCCAGGTGGAGTGACCCCACAGAGCTCAGGCGTTCCTTTACATCTTGTGGGTTCCTACTAGCAAGGACTTCAAGTGACCATCTGGAGCTGAACCTTATGAGACTACTCGGTTTGCAGCTCAGCAGTAATGATACCTTTAAAAAAAAAGCAGCTTTGACAGGCATGAGTGGCATTCTTTAGCTGCTGTGTGCACATAAGAAACACCTGCAGGGCAAAGTGATGGTGTTTCAGTACTGCACCTTCCTAACACTTCTGCTGTGGATTCCCAACTTCCAGGTTGGTTTAGGCATACAGTCATGGGTGTTCTGTATTGGGGGGGTTATTATTATTATTTTTTTATTTAGAAGAAGAAAAAGAAGTGACTGTGACATTTGTTAGCAATCACAAGGAGTTCCTGTATGAAAATGATTGCTTCTGCCCACAGCAGTCAGATATGTGGAAGAGGCACAGGTGCTTCTGACTACTTTTATTCCCTCAAGGTTTTTGCATCCAAACATGGACAAAGCCCAGCTCTGCTTTGCTTATGAGCTGTGACAACACAATAGCCCATGGCAGCGTGGCTGTGAACTACTGATATTTCTGTTGTTCTGTGCTTACTGAAGCCTTGAGAAGAAAAACAATCTAAGCAAGACTCAACCTCAAGTGTCTTGCATAAGTACCAAGAAGCCCTCCCCAAGGGCTCACAGACAACTTTATCTTTCAAAATGAAGTTTAGGCAGCTCAGACATAGTAAGAAATTCAGTTGTGCACTGCAGCTTGTGTAGGTTTTTTTAGTCTGTTCACAGAGTCACCATAACAGCCCCTAGAGGATTTTCTGGCTAAATGGGGAGGGATCTCCTGGTGGGTGCAGAAATGACAAGGCCAGCTCAATGCCACCTTCCCCACCAGAGCCCCTGGAAGGCATCCGGGGATTTTTGGTAGTGAAGGGGTGATAACAGAGGAACTTCCCGTGCCTTAGAGGAGGCTGGTGCAACTCAGAGCAGCCGTTGCAGCTTCTCTAATCGCTCAGATTGAGGTTGAAGTGGTTCCTGGTGAGCCTGGCACACTTGAAAGTGAAAGCCTCTTCTTTACTTTGACTGCAATCTCAGTGCCCTTCAAAGACCAAGAGGCACTTGATGCAGTCTGGACCAGGGACTGCTGAGTTATAAGCTACAGAACCCACCTTACCCTACCCAATAGGATTGTGTTTTCACTCTAGTGACTCTTTGAATGACAATTTTAGTGCCTATAAGCATGGATGTCTTAGGGTTCACTTGTGCACTTTTATTACTACTATCCAAATTCACATAATGTGCAATACATCAAAAGGGTTTATCATTGAGTATTCTTACCTAAGGTTCTGCTCACTTTAAATCACTTGGACATAACAGCTCGGGATGTGTTGGTGACCCCTGAGTAAAAATCACTGGAGAAAATTCCAGTCTACACTTTGCTAATGCTGCTCAAATGATTGTTCAAAGGTATCAGACTTCCCAGCATGAACTGTCTGGGGAGTTGTGAGTAAGTGTTGTGGTCTCCTTACGAGACACATTTCTTTCATGCCAAACATGCTTACCCCGAGCTCATAATAAAGAATAATGCTTCAAAACCCAGCTGTGTTTCTGAAGGGTGTTAGTGGAAACTTGTTCTGCAATTAAGCATTTCATACTGTAGCAGTTCTTGAGAGATGTTAAGCAAATGTTCTCCCTCACACACATCCTTCCCTTTATTAAACTTTTGTGTCACTCCTCTAATAGTCTGCATATACACTTTCTTTCCCACTTTCCCAGTGGCTGATAACAGAAACTTATTCCAGTATATGATGCCTTAGTCACTTTTCTTGACCTTTATTGCTGCTCTAAGTTCCCACTCACGCTTACGTTAGAGAACTTCCTGAGCACAATGGTGCTTGCAAATGACTAATTAGGGCAAATGCACAAGCTGATGAGTCAGCGAACGGCTCGGGAGGACAGCGGCAGCGACTGGGCAGCAGAACAAGTCCGGCTGAAGATGTGAGAAGTGCTCCTGCCCCTGGCTTCGGATCTGTTTGCTGAAGAGACACGTGTCACCGCGATGGGCTCTGGAGGCATTTACTCTCAGGATCCAAGTGCATCCCTATCAATAACGACTGGCAGAACTTCTGACTGCGGTGGGAAAAAAAATCAGGGATTTAATTAAGACATCTTACCTCCCAAACCCACTCACCATTTCTGAGCAGGGACTCACTGGGGCAGGCAGAGGGTGTTAAAGAGAAACTCTGTTTGTCTCTCTGGAGCTGGCAGCTCACATCACTGGGGATGTCACAAGCAACCTGCCCTCAGCACTGGCTTTCCTGGGCTTTTGCTTCATCGTAGAGACCCCTATGCTGCCTTGAGAGGCTACCTAGAACAAAAGCTAGACAGTGTTAAAGGAAAGTACATATTTATTTTAAGTCTTCAAAGTATACACCTTGGGCAGCACAAAAGCCTGGCCAACACTACACCCAAGATGGATTATGGGTCACGAATTTTCACACTTTTATAAGTTTTGGTCCATTTCCATATTGGGAACGGCTTTCAATTACAGCTTCAGGTTATTAAGTCCTATCCTCCTGTTGTTTATACTTTTTGGGGCTGAAGCTGCAATGGTGTCCTTGGTTCTTGAGCTGGAAAATGATTGTTTTTTCTAATTAAACTGCGAAGAGAACTTGCTAACAATTTTTATGAAGTTCAGAACTATCTACTAATGCCGTACAGAATCTGAAAAATATGAAAATTAAAACTTAAGGCATCACCTACATGTAGGGAGTTAACACTCACTGGTTCAGTAATTGAGCTATAATGAAGGGTATATTCTAGCCTATCCATATTTGACCAAAAAACCTGTCTTGCTCACAGCACCACTGTGAAGTATTGAGTTGACAGAGGAATTCCACGAGGTCTCAAATGCTGTGCAGACCCAGGGCTCTGTAACACAGGCTAATAGTTGTTACTACAACTTACTGTGCTTAACAGTGCAAGAACCTGAGAGCTCTGGTGATCAACTCATTCTACAATAGAAAAATGAACTGAAATTTGAATCTAATTCAAAGCAAACCGTTGGCATTGGAAGCCTAATGCTGCTCTTTCTCAAATATGAAATATTTTCTGAAATGAGAGTACGTGTTGGGAGACACAATCTCCCTTTGGCAGCTGTTGTTTCCTTGTGTCTTTTCTAACCTCAGTGCTTCTTCTTTCCTTCTTGTGCCAAAATCTTGTTTATTTTTCCTTTTGCATCTGCACAATCCCCATTTTTTGAACTATGACCACCTCTTAAAGTCTGCTTGGGTCAGTGTACACTTAGGCATTTGGAAATACTCTCTGGACTGTTGTTTCTACACAGGTAGCCCAATATGATAACAAATTCTTCAGTGCAATAAAAGCACTATGTCCAATTCAGTGCAATTAGATTTGGGGAAGGATTTTCTACCCATGAAAGGAGTTTAACAGATGAAAGCGTAAGGCAAGCAGACACTCAGCAGGCTACACTGTACAATTTCACCAGTTGGCTGCATCCTGCCTATCCCAGGTCCCTCCTGAGCAGATACTGCCAATTGTACAGTGGTTTTCCTGATG